TATAACCTAGTTTTCTGATAATTTCTCTTTTTAGTTTTAAACATTTATTTGTAATCGAATTTTGTTATAGATCTGTATTTTTTAATAAACCAATCAATTTTCTAGATGTCGTTTTTCTCATGTGACAGCAACCAATGTTCTGATTGGTGACGCCAGACTTGTCAAAAATACTCCACACCAATAGGGAGGAGGCATCGAGATTAACAAAACCAAAAAAACATAAATTTTGTAATAATCAAACTAATTTTGTCTTCAAGTGGCTTAAAACCTGAATAGTATTTACTTTTGTATGTAGTTTTTCTTGTGTCAGCAACCAACGTGCTGATTGGTTTCCCCAGACTTGTCAAAAATACCCCAGACCAATAGGGAAGCGGTACCGAGGTCATTGAGATTTGAGCCAGAATTTAACATGGGAAATATAGAGTGACTGGTATAGAGGTATAGAGGTACTGGTAGCGTTATATACTGAGAAAGCTTTTGATATGTAATGGATCTGTGGATTAATATACAAAATGTTTATAAATGAATATCCTGTTTACATTATAAAAACAATTCAGTCATACCTACAGGATAGAACTTTTAGTGTAAAAATCAAGAAAACTATCACAGGACCATATAATGTAATGGAGGTTTACCCCAGGGTTTGGTACTATCGCCGCATCTGTACACTATCGTGACCCATGACATGCCCATGTGAATTAATGGTGTACAGACGGCGCTTTACCTTGACGATACCTGTGTATTTAAAACATCAACATCTGCTGATATAGCAAACAGGAGACTGGAAATCCATATTAATAGAACTATCTATATTACAACAAAATGCGACTAAACACAGCAACAATAGAGAGCATGGTCCTCACTAAAAGGAGAATGGAGCAAATACTAGGTAAAAGAACAGATCGTAGAGGCTAAAAATACGGTTACGTATCTGGGGATATATCTAGATAAGGGATTAACCTCAAACTTCAACGGATACAAAACAGGTTTCTGAGGCTGGTCTTGGGGTGGCCCCGCTATTCCAGATCAATGACATGCATGTAGATACATCCATGCAGACTATGAAAGAATTTGTAACGCGCATCTCAGAAAGATTTTATAGACACTGTCTCCCCGAAAACGTAAAGGGAGACATAATTAACATTAATGCAGGGAACAGTGCTCACAGAAAGCATGGATATCTCCACAAAGTACTCTCAATATGCAGACAGGACTAAAAAACATTAATTTGAAACTAGGACGGACATAGACTCCACGACTGTGACTGACCAACTAAATGTGAAAAGATTGAAGAGCTTGAGTGATGTGTACACACTAGGTAAGAAATAAAGCGAGAAGGTATTTAAAGTGTGTAATTATTGAGTTTTATTTAATAAAACTCCATAAATTCGTCTGAGCGCTTTCGGTCTCTTAAGCCATCATTAAAGACTTCGTCAAAAAAACTTTAGAAGAAACATGAAGAAACTAAACTAAATTAATAAGGGACAGCAACTGACCAGTTTTAAGTCTGCAGCGTAAATAATTGAAAATCCAAACCGAAATTCGGTAACTGACAGTCTAAAATGTGAGGCCAGTGGTTAGTTTTTAACAAAGAAAGTGGAGGTTCATCCGACCATGTAGAACTAAACCATGCTGATACGGAGAACGAGGAACTGCTAATCTTCCACTTGAAGGCAGCAAGGGTTACACTGGATATAAATGTTAAAATGAGCAAACATTTATTCATATTTTTAATGGTTTTCATTAATTATAGATAGATATTTTTTATGCAATGTTAAGAGAATGTACCCAAGAAATGTTTCAATATGTTATTTTCTGGAAAACTTCCGAATAAACTATATAATCGTTGTATTGAATTCTATTTTCATATGTATTTTTTAACCACTTTGGCACAGATGCCGTTTGGTCAAATACAATGCTTTTAGATGGCTTCGGGGCATATTTCATTTCATTATCAGATGACGGCCATAATTTGCAATGAGCTCTTAAGCTATTACAAACAATCATGTATATTTGACAAATCGCCTGTCCAGAACAATGACATATATAGTATATATAGACTGCTTATCCATATGTAAATAAAGCGATGAAAAGCGGGTCGAACTGGGAGATGTTTTCTCTTTGTCTAGTACATGCAATGTTTGTGTTTTGTCTCAATTGTAAGTGCCCACTGGTAAACAAACCTTATACAGAACCGGTTTAGAAGAAAGTTTAGTTTAATTGAAATTTTGTTGTCACTGTCATTGCTTAGTCGAACACTGAAGCCTATTGGCTTATTGTTTTTTACCCTATGTTAGTTCATAGCGCCCACTCTGTCACCTTTGTACCTTGTACAAGTTTGTACAGATCTTTGGGTGAGTGGGTTCTACACGTTGTTGGATCAATCTGGGGTTGTCCAAAAAGAGCCTGTCTTTTGCGATCTAGAGCTTCGCATTCACACAGTATGTGTTTGACCGTTTCTGGTTTCTTGTGACATAGTCGGCACATGAGTTCCCCATTGTACATGCCAATTTTGTTCAAGTGTCCCTTTACTGGGGCGTGCCCAGTCATGAACCCTGTTATTACTTTCAACTGGTTCCTATTCATTAAGAGCAGTTCTCCAGTTAAGGCCCGAGTTAGAGCTAGCTGGGCTTGACAAGTAGATTTTAAAAGTTTATTTAGTTACAAAGAAGTATTGTAATAGAAAAACTCAATATAAATAGAACAAAACGGGCATAAGTAACAATACAGAGAGGCAAACACTGATTTACGTTTTCATTCTTCGAAGAAACCATACCAAATATCCATTTTCTGAGTCGTTTTTTCCATGCAATCATGCTTAGATAGTTCATACTGTCAAGTAGTTTATTGCATAGCTTTATCCCTTCAGACATTATAGTATCTAACTCTTTTTCCTGCTAGCTGTTTTCATTGCAGCCGCTCTGATGTCCTTACTGTTCCTCACATTGTACGAGTAGTTATGATATAAGTCTCATTCAGTGAAACGAATTAAACGTTGGAATGGGTTGTATTGTTTTGCAGTTGTGGATGTAGAGGCGATTGAAAAACGTGAAGATTTTTATATAACTTTATTTCAACCACGAACTACTAACAAGTTAAATATTTTCATTTTTTAAGTTTTATTTTAAATTTCTTAATATTAAATGAGCCGACATGTTTTTAAGATTTGACGACTTAAATCATTCAAAATACGACACTTACATACTTAAATAGAATATGTAAAAAAATAGATGTAATTTTCTGAATCAATTTTGTGCATAATAAAAAAGTTTTCAATTTTTTGCAAACTTTAGTATTACCCAGAAAGAACTGCGATAGCTTTATAAAGAGCTAGCACGCCTTAAATTCTACTTTATTTACGCCGACAGATGAAATATGTCTGACAAAAAGGATTATATCCTTAAAGAACTCTGTTTTTTAGCTCCTAATTCTGCATTAGAAAAACATAAGTAAGCTGCAAGCTATAAGTAGTGCGAGTTTATTAATCATGTGTGTAAAAGAGACATTTTAAATTTAAATTAGAAAGAAATAAAAAAAGAATTTGTTAGAGGGTTTATGGCATGTTAATCCCAGAAAATAACTGCATGCTTGCAAAATTAACAGGGAAAGACAAGTTGATCTAGCAGTTTAAAAGAAAATATAGAATAACAGGTTCTCGGTGTTATGATCTTTATACTTACACTAAAGACACTCCAAAAATGATTTGTAAACAGATAAATAAAGTGAACTTTTATTCATATTAAATCCTTTATTTGAATACATAGACATTTAAAAAAAAATGGTTAATGGTTAACAAGATATTTATTATTATATAATGTCTTAAATTGATATTTTTTAGATTTGTTCTACATAGAATTGAGCATGAAGGTGAGGCTCGACAGGCATGCATAAATGCAACTAATGATATTATTATTGTAGAGGAGACAGGGTTGATTATTTCAAAAATAAACATATAAAAATAATAAGCAATAAAGGTGAACCCATAAAATTATTAGAAATCAAATGTCCATTTATAGGTTTGTTATTTTGTACATTATTTTTATAATAATATCAAGAATTATGCATTTTTTGTTACATTATCAAATATTTAAATACAAATCATGTAAACATTTAACTATAAATGTGAAAAATGAAGTTATTAAAAAAAAAAACACCAATATATCAATATTATGGTCAAATTCAACTGGGTATGGCCATTTTGAATTTGCAAGAATGAATACATTATAGGTATTCCAGCAAATTTAAAAAATTTTAATTATAACTGTTCAATTTGATAATATAAGAGGTATGTTAATTGCACATCGTTTTTATAAGATGTTTATACAGGAGTGTAAAATTGTTTAGATCTCTTAAAATATTTTGGTAATATGGAACTAAACTTTAAGACTTAAATAAATAAATAAATATTCTTTTTCAAAATACCTAACCAAGCTCCTGTCTTGAAGTAAACATTCAGGTAATTATTATTTTTTAATTCAATTCCTACTTTATTGAAATATGAGTTTTAAACTCATTTGGGCCAGACCGATTCTGCCTGGTGAGCACTCGGCAAGACGAGCAATATGACCCGCTTTTCGTTGTCTTGTTTATATATGGATAAGCAGTCTATATAAACTATATATGTCATTGGTCCAGAATAATATTGTCCTGTATTAGCGAGAATATTTTAAGTATGTAGTTTTGTTACCTTAGTATTTTATTACAAAGCTTCTGTCATTCCTATTTGTACCAAAATTTAGGATATTTCATTAGACTACCTCCATAGAGATCTATGGCCCTATACATAATGGAGTTAGGACAACTATATTGATATTTCAGACAAAATTTATTATACAAATATCTCTAGGTAATATCAACGGAAAGAGAATACCTCTCTTACATAAAACAATAAGTATCTAGAACGAAACCAGATATATGGCTGGCTCGATTTCTAAAGATTATTTTATACAAATTATGTAAATTTTTTAATATTTTTTATTTATTTATTTATTTTGTTCAAGGTTGTTGTAATGTATTGGAAATTCCTTAGTCTAATATTGCTGGCTGTGATAGTTGAATCAAGGGGCCCTCATCATCCCAGAGGCGACAAAATTGTAAAAAGGCACGTCCACTACTCCCCTACCAAAGACAATAATGAGAAGTTAACAGAAGATATGCAGCTTCTGCATGATAAAGAACATATACAGGTTCATACATTTCATACTTATATATTTTCCAAAATTTATTTTTATATTGTACAATACATTTCTGTATTGTACAATTTTTGAATTAATGAAAGCCTGGCTTTCCAAAAATATTTTACAAATAATTCGACACTCATTACTTTTTGTGCTGTTGGTTTTTATGTATCTGCTTGCATCGCCTTTAAACTATTAAAAAATATATGAATATTAGGATGAACCAAGTAGCACCATAAAAACACTTTGGGTTTATTTGAGTTTTAAAATGGTTTTAATGTGGCAAACAAAAAGATACTGGTTTTAAAATTACCTTAAAGGATATACTGCGGGCAATTAAGAGCTGTTTAGCATTTAATACTGGTTTTAAAGTATCTAATAAGATTCGCTAATGATGGCAATTAATCTTAAAATTTTGTTTGTGTTGTTATAAAATGGTTTAGTTTCAATTAATTTTAAAACTATTTAGTTTAATGAAGGACTTGCAGGCTGTTTGGTTTTATTATGTTCTAGATTGTGACGTTATAGTTTTTAAGTAGTTTTAAACAGATTCTTAATGTAACTACTAAAACCTATTATTAAATCTGCTTGATTTTAGGACAATTTTGTCAGTAAATATTGCATTTTAAAACTATTTCATTTCTTTACTTTATAACGGCTTTCTTAAATGCAATTAGAAAGTTTTATTAAAACGGAATGCTCTTAACTAAATCAATATGGTTATGGTAAAGAGTCCAGGACTCGTCTGACTATGTCTCCGAATAACACTGAAGCCTAATATCTCCGTGCGCGACAGCAGCGCCAATTCGTTTTGGTACTAATGGACTATTTCTGCGTATACTGATAAATACAATTTTTAATAGAATTTGTAATTAAAAAGGATATCTGTTAGTTTTAATAAAAGTATATGGATTTGTAAAACAAGTAAACCATTAGTTTATTATTATTATATATTTTTATCGCTTAAATTAAAGGAAATTATAGGCAACAGTATTTACTGGAAAATGTATGAGAAGTTGCCTAAGTCTAATAAGTTGTCATTGAAGAATTAGCCTATTCTGTCAAAATAAAAAAATACCATTTAATAATAGTGTGAAGTTAAAATGTATTAAAAAAAAAGGATCGGTATTTATATTTTCATTTTTGTTCGAAAGAAAACAGAATAAATGATTAAAACTGGTTTTCCATCAGTAAGTCACAAAATTGCATTACAGCCACATATAATAATAAAAAGGCAGAAATCTTGAAATCTAGGCCTTGCTGAATGAACATTTAAAAATGAAAGGATATTAAAGAACATCGTAAAATAATAATTTATTGTTTATTTGAAGTTTCTGATGTCTACTATTTCCAGCATTACTGTTATTATTACAAAAATAAAGGTAATTTTTCTTTATATTGTACATCTATCCATTTATTTCTTTGATTTAATTTCCACTTTGCTACTGAAATTTTTTATATGAGGTTCACTGTTTTTTTTGCTAGTATTTGTACAATTTTCAACACAGCAACTCAGATTGCTTATTGTATTGTTTTTACCTACTTTTTTGGAAAAAAGTAAAATGTATACGTGCCAAAATTACAAAATATCGCCCTAAAATGCACGAATTATCCGCAGCTAGCGCTAGTATCGCTTCTGCTTCCCTTTCCATGACTTCGCACGGAGCGAATTGGCTTATTGTGTTTTACCCCATGTTAGTTCATAGCACCCACTCAGTCACCTTTGTACAAGTTTGTACAGATCCTTGGGTGAGTGGGTTCCATACGTTGTTGGATCAACCTGGGGTTGTCCAAAAAGAGCGTGTCTTTTGCAATCTAGAGCTTTGCATTCGCACAGTATGTGTTTGGCAGTTTTTGGTTTCTTGTGACATAGTCGGCACATAAGTTCCCCATTGTACAGGCCAATTTTGTTCAAGTGTCCCTTTACTGGGGGGTTCCCAGTCATAAACCCTGTTATCACTTTCAACTGGTTCCTCTTTTTGCAAGTTCGTCATCCTTTTCGTTGTCTTCGATCCCTTGGTGACCTGGCACCCAAAATAGTTTTACTCTATTTCGGTCTGCTAGTGTTCTTAGTTCTTCGATGCATTCCCATACCAGCCTCGACATAACTTTCTGCCTCGATATGGCCTTAAGTACCGCTTGGCTGTCTGACATTATTTGAATATGCTGATTTTCAACAGCTCTTTCATTGTTCGTTTTTGCACATTGCAAAATTGCATATACCTCGGCCTGAAATACCGAGAAATGTAATCCTATAGCATAGCTATGGTTAGTATCAGGGTTTTTGGAGAATACTCCCGCCCCAGTGCCTTTTGCAGTCTTAGACCCGTCTGTATACCAGGTTTGTTCCTGTCGTTGGGCATTGGGCTCCCTTATTGTGATATCCGCTCTTTTCTGTATTAAAACCTCAAATGGAGTAATAAAAAAGTACCTCTTGGTTATATGGTCTGATCTCATGTCTAGCACGTCTTTTGTCACTTACCTTGAGATACTCATGTAACCTGGCCTATTGTCAAGATTTCCCAATGTATTCCCTAATCTGTAAGCACCTAATCTTGCCTCCCCTTGTATCACATAGTGAAGAGGTGGGAGTATTATTAGTGCTTCCATTGCAGCAGTGGGGGTTGTTTTCATTGCCCCCTTTATTCCAGGCAGGCAAGTCTTTGTACTTTGCTTAGCCTCGTTATTGCTTTCCTTTGCTGTGTCTTTGGCCACTACACCAAAGCTGCGTATGTTATTATCGGTCTCACCACCATGTTATAAAGCCAATATACCATGTCTGGTTTTAACCCCCATTTTTTCCCAAAGGATCGCCTTGCCATCATTATCGAGGTTTCCGCTCTCCGTGTGTTTTTTTCTAGATGTTGGTTCCAGGTAAGTCTTGAGTCAATCATAACCTCGAGATATTTTACCTCACCCTTAAGCTGGATGCACCTCTCAGGTTTAGAGGCCCTAGTCCGTCCAATTTCCTCCTGCGGGTGAATGCAATTATGTCATATTTGTTTGGGCTAATGTTTAGTCCTTCCGCCTCTATTCAGTTTGTTACTATATTTAGAGCCTCTTGCATTCAATCTCTTACTATAGTGTTGTATTTTCCCTGTGCCATGATCACTAGATCATTGGCATGTCTTAGGGTTCTGTCCCTTATATTTGAGAGCCCTAAGCAGCACTACACCCTACGGACATCCTCTCGCTATCCGTGTCGCTATTGTCTCTCCCATAAGGGTTGTATGTATAGTTCTCTCCCTTAACATAGAGTCGATCCAGGACACGCACGTGTCCTCGATTCCTCTCTGTTTGAGAGATCTAATGATCGATTCAACGGAGGTATTTTCAAAAGCACCCTCGATATCCAAGAATGCTCCCAGCATTACCTCCTTGTTTACCTTCTTGTTAGAAACAATAAAACTAAACTCATCCGCTCTTCTTACGTGGCCCAAATGAACCCCGCATTTTGTATCATGTCAAACAGTGGTGTACCTACAATAATTAGTAAAACTAAAAACAATACGAGTATATTAATATTTCTCTAAAAGTACACAAAACACAAACGGCTGATACGGCACGGAGATTTTAAGGTTTAAATCACGTTTAAATCACAAGCGAACCTTGCTTTTGTCTAGGGTAAGTGCTCTTGGAACAATATACGGGTATAACTTGATTAAATAAAACCTGTTGATCTTAACGTTTCATTGTCCATTAACTAAACAGTTTTATCTAATTACCGACCATTTTACTTTCGTGAGACGGTGTTTGTGGTGGTTTGTTTGGGCAGCGGGTATAGATTTTAGACAGTCGGAGACAGAGTTCTTGGGACATTAAAATTTATTCTAAAAATTTTTATATAGATAACAATATTTACAATATGTATATAAAAAGGGTCTGGTTAAATTTTGATTCGTCGTGTCTCCAAATGTTGTTCCCCAAAATATATTTCGTGCCCCGTTCGGCGTGGATTAGTGGTCCAGGATGGTGTGGCCAAGATGAGACAAGAGACAAGACGGTGATGGAAGTCCCTTGAAGTCAGTACCTTCGTGGGAGAGATTCATGGGAAGGAAAATCTACAAAAGTCAATAGCTTTGCAGGTAATGGTAGAGACGTCATGAAGCCTACAGAGTCAATATCTCTGCAGGAGCAGAAAAGGATAAGGAGAGGAGAAGTCAATACCTTACTTCGACTGACAAAAAATATATTCGGAGCTCTTTATATACTTGTCTCTGCTTGGCAAATACGGCTGCATGCTGAACCATAGGCGTCCTTAGTACGTTGTTACTGGGGAACATCGTTATACTCCTCCTTCGTGGAAAAAAATGTAGAAACGGAAATTTTTGAACCTAAAAAAAATCCTAAAAAAAGAGATCTTCCATAACTCTTCCTTCAGTTATGCCTATCAAAATTTAAATGGCTGGTGGACCCTCCTTTTCTGCCTTTTATTCGGATTACCTTTCCCTCTTCTAAGTGCAGCCGGTACTTTTTTCTTTGAAATTTGGCGATAAAAGCTTTTTTATGGTATGGAGACCTTTATAGTTGGCTGCAATTATGAGATGCCCATATTGGATGCAATAACCTGTGGTGGCGGTTCCTCGAATGGTCTTTTAAATTTGGCTTAAAATTATCTCACTGTTTTTTCTGGCGAAAGTGTAAGCGTCATGGCAGTTGTGTTAGTGGCAAGTATTGTTGTGGTGGTGTTGATGGCAAGCGTCGTTGTAGTGGTGTTGGTGGCAGCGGTAACAGTATTTTTGTTGGCTGCCATTCTTTTTCTAACTGTTCTTATTCGCCGTCAGAACTGGAAAGGAGACTCATGTCTTCGTTTAATATTAAAACGTCTTCTTGGGACATCTTCGTGATACTGCTATTTTTAATGTTTTATTTAACACTCTAAGGTATTATGTTAGCCGAGACGGTAAGGAATGTGGTTTTTATGGCGACAATGGATTGACATAGGCGGGCTTGATGTCTTTAATGTGAGCTTTTAGGGTTCGATTATTTTGTGTGTCTCGTAACTAAAAAATTACTTTAAAACATACTTTACTAATGGTGTATGGACCAGCAAATTTTGGTGCTAATTTAGCGTTGAAATTTCTGGCTGCGTTTGAAAGGTTGTAATCTTTCTTCATAACTTTGTCGTTAATTGTCGGTCTTTAATTTCTATGCCGAAGATTTTAGTAACGTCTTTGTGTTGTGGAAGCTCTTGCCAGGTTTGCCTTTACTAGGTCAAACGTTTCTTTAAGCTTGTTCCATGTAACGTTTCTTGCTGGTAATTGGCTGTTGGTCGTGTTTTCTAAAACTTTACTTGGGATTTCTAGTTCGTGTCCAAAATTTAGGAAAGCCGGCATACATCCTGTGGAGTCGTGTTTTGCGGAGTTGTAGGCAAAAATATGAGAGCATAAAGCATCACAGTAATGAGTTTTGTTTAAAGGACAATATAATTTTATTTGTTAACGTGTTTTTTCTGCCCATTTAATTCCTTTCAGTCTCTAGAAAACGCATTGCCTATTCATATGACCCTAGCTAAATAAAATTATTATTCAAAATATGTTAAAATTCTCATAATTTTAGAGAGTCAGGACCTGGCGAGGCATCCACATTGTTACGACTCAAGCCACGTTTTAATTCTGTGAGAAATAATAGTTATAGCGCCTCTTTAAAATATTACCTCAATGGTATTTTATAAGATGACATTCGCGTACACTCGGTTTTCTGACTTTTGGCTGCTGTCTGGTCAAGTCCTATTAGATTAAGGTCTGGCTGTCATTTTATGTTTATTAACCCAAAGACTATGCATAATAAAAATTTAAACCTTGGTATAACAGTTTCACTAGGTATGTTTTAATTTTTGACAACTTACAAGATGTGCTGCCGCAAGTGCGCCGCAAATGAAACTGCTAACTCTAGAATATTTATACACATTTTAAATACAATTTATTAATAATTTTTGAGCCTTGATAAAAAAAGAAATAATTAAATTTGTAGTTTTTTTTACGATTACAATGATTATTACAACTATTCTTGCTTTTAGGAACATTTGGAAGACATAATTCCAGAACCAGATTTATCAAAAATGACAGAAGAAGAATTGGAATTTTATTATTTTCAAGTACATGATACCGATAAAAATTCTAAACTTGATGGCCTAGAATTATTACAAGCCATTCTTCATACTGATTCATATTACGAAGATTTAGATGAAGAGAATGGATCCGGTATGGCGAAAACGGAGGTTGCTGATTTTAGTTACTTTGTTGGTAAGTTAACGTGTGAAACATTAACAAATATTAAAAAAAAGTTACCGTTATTCTACCCATTGGTATTATGTTAATGTCATAGTAACTCATACATATTAGACTTCTACTAGGCACTATCTAAATTAATTGTAAGTGCCGATCAAATTTTATTAGTGAAAAAATAATCTTAATACCGTCCAAAATCTACAATATCGAAACTGAAATGGCAATGCCAACTTACGTGGCCGTACCCTGTACCCTGTACCCGAGTGACGTCGCGGTGTTCGAGGTTCACCAGCAAGCCATATTCGGCCCTGATGTATATTGTCATGTTGACGCTCTTTTTATAGTTATTTTGCCAAGAGCGGTTTACTGCGATATTTTGAAAAATCCATGTTTCATCCAGATTTTTGTACTTGTGTACAACCATAGGCGCCGAATCCCCGGGGGCTCTGGGAGCGCAATCACCTAAAGCAATTTTAAACTGGCACAATGTGGACAAAAAGTGCCAATAAGTGAAATGAAGAAGATGTCGTGGCCCAAGTTGGTAGAGCGACAGGATGCCTTGATGCAGCATCAGTTTTTCATTGGCTGTCAGAGTTGTGAGCTGTGACGTTGTAGGTTGCGATAATTATAATGCTAATTCAAAATATTAAAGCTTTATTCTTAAGGCCGAAGTTAACTTTTTTCTTAGGTTAGAAAACAATTTTTCATTCGAAGTCATACAAGACGTCCCTCTAAATTTCTATCTCCTAATGTCAGAAATTCGTAACACGATGAGTTTAATAGAACGTATGTCTTGAATTAGCACAGTTGCGAAAGACCATAACTTTTAAATATTTGTTAAATATCACTTATTAAAATATTAGGACATATGAACAGTAAAACAAACTATCGACTAGGAGAATTTTGTAATTTTTAAGAGGTTTTTTACATTCTAACTTTACAGCATAATTTTGTAGTTAGTTGGCATATCCAGATATGTTGAAAAATGTAAAAATAATTAAGCAATATATATTATTTATGTGATATTGTCCACTTTTAAATACTGAAAATATGTCATACCTAGTTTTGAACGTGCACAGTATAGGGACAGTATTCACAGGTATATCGTTTTGCATAGAAAATATTGAAATAAAGCAATTTGTATGTATTATGTTAATAACCAAAAATGAACATAATGGTTTTTCCATCTAACCATAGAATTATTTTTTTAAATTCATTTGACATTCTTTTTTACCCTGTGTAAAATTCGATATGCAGTGTCTTTACGGTTTTGGTACATTTCAAAAATAGGGCTTCTATCTTTAAACGGCCTCTTATACTTTAACATACATTTGTCTTAGTCAAATCAAAAGTTTTCTTCTTTTCTGTTTTGTGAAATTTATAAAATCCAGTGTTGTCACATTACTACACTCGATTATCTAATCCTTAGCCGGTACATAGAAAATAACTACTAGTCATTTAAACGAGAATAAATATTAAAACGGTGTATATAGGCGTAAAGCGGTCTTTGTTTCCTATGTTCTGTGATGAAGTTACTAAATTTTATTTTTAAATCATTTTAAAAATGTATATTTTAATTAGTTCCCGCCTGAGGATATGTCGAAGATCCCGGTATTTGTGTTTTCCAGGAATTCCTGTTTTTAAAAAATTGCCAGTACCCTCGTAGGTTAAAATATTTCCATATTTGCCGAAATGCGAATGGGCATTTGTAGATTGAATTTCATGTCAATTATCTACTTGTATTTATCAAAGTGCTAGTAGGACATTTTTTTCATTTTGAACTAGTAAATAGTCGGATGTGGTGGTGGTATCTCCCACTCCGAAATTGCCGGGATTCGAGCTTGCCTGCTGAAAGGCATAAATAAGATGAACAAGTCAAATTTCACTATTTTTGACTCATGACCACCGTAGTCTCTTCTTCTCAGCAGTATTTGCCGTTCCTGTACAAGTCTGCTAGTTTCCCGAGTGTATCAGTAACCGAATTATTCCCGTTTTCCAAGGTAGGACATTTTCTTATTTACGTTTTACAGTTAATTTGGGACATTCGTTTAATTAGCCGAAGAATTTTGATTATTCAGAGTGTTTTTATTTCACCCCTTAGAGGGAATCCGTTGGCAATTTTTACTTGAGGCTGTATTGAGGCTTGATTTATGAGAATCTCAATTTCAACGACTCTATCCAATATCCCTTAAAAAACGACCTAAACGCTGAAGTGAGAGGTTTAACCCAATTTTGTCATTTTTTTTATCATTGGGGAAGCCGCCCATTTTATTTTCTTTTTTAGAGGGATCGTCATAGCTATCCGTTTTTATTTATTTATTAAACGATCAGCCGTAATATTGAAAATAATTACTTCTTTTTAATTATTTTCTGTTTATCATTTTGACCAGAATATTTAATTTAATTTTTGCTTATTGATAAATTTATTTTCTGTATACAGGCCGTTTCGTAAATTTCCGTTTTAATTCTTGTTTTATATTCTATTACTATTATATTTAATTAATTTTAGTTACTAAAAATTCATTTTCTGTATACAAGGAGATTCATAATTTCCGAATTGATTAGCCTCCTGTGCTATATCGAACTGCTATATTTACTTTAACTTAATTTACTGGAAGAATTTAATTTTATTCATTGATAAATTTGTTTTCCGTATACAAGGGAAATTATAATTGTTTTCCTGTGATTTTCTAACAGCTATATTTAATTAATTGTATTTGCTAAAAGCTTATTTTCTGCATACAGAGAGATGCATAATTTCCGGGTCGATTAGCCTCCTGTACTTTCGAATCGCTATATTGACTTTAACGTATTGTTACGCTGGTTTTTGGTATCACAATTTAATTAAACTCAACTTTCAATTCACTGCAGGTGAATCAGAAACCTATCACAGTACATGACATAATTATCACACCTCGTTTCATTGTAAATTTCTGTATCCGTATATACTTGTAACAAAATGTACTATTTGTTTCAGAGTTAGTGGATCAAGTACTAAACGAAGACGATACAGATCATGATGGTTATTTAAGTTACGCAGAATATGCTGCTAAGAGACGCTTGCATAATAAGAAAAACAGTATCAAACATTACAATAGATAAAAATAGGTCTCAAATCAATACTTTAAATGTATTTTCGTTTCATACTAGTCAATAAAAGTATCATTCTATTATTTGTTTTATTATTTTCCGATTAACATATATAGGTTAGCCGTTGATAAACTGTACCTACCAAATGCAGACCCAGAGGAAAGCCTAGGGTCTTTTAAAAAATCTTAGATATCAGTGGAATTAATAAAAGGAAGGAAATGCTTACGAGGAAAAGGTCGAAGTAAAAGGTTTTGCTGCAAGTAAGAGGTAAAAGTAAAAACAAATCCTTCTATTTGTATTAATAATGATTACCTATACTTGCAAGTAAATCCTTCCAACCAAGAGTAAATGGCAGTATAAATGTTTAGACACGCAAAGCAGGTAGTTTTGTATTATATATAGTGAAATAAAGATTTTTTGGTATGTATAAACTTTGTTTTTGACAGCATCTTCTAATGAAAGTAAAACTGAAGAACGTAGCAAGAGCAGCGAGTTGAAATTTATTGCTGACGAACTTCGAGCTTGTTGATATTTTATGTGTTGAATTATTTTTGATTATTAAAAACTTTATAAAGTGCAGAAGACCTAGATGTATAATTCGTTCCTGCTCTAGCAATGCTCGTTTAAGTGAAACATTTACTGGAATAACCTTTCATAGGTTAGTATAACAAATATAAATATTGTACAGTGACAGTTTTGTCACTCACCGAGCGGAAAACTTGACAGCTCTGCTGCTTGCCTAATTTAAATTAGATATTATATAATAATATCTTTTTAATAAATGATTTTGAAGTTAATTGTACGTAAATTGATGGTTTTTGTTTAACTATCCAAGTTAACATTGACTTTGAATATCAATTCCTTTTTTCATGAAGAACATAGATACAGGCAACACATTATACACTTACCTACGACAAATTTTTAGTTCTTTGAACGTAAAAAAAATCTTGTGTGCATTTTAAGCGAAAAGTTCGTTGCCGCTTACGACAGATTTTCGCGCGACGCAACTTTTCGCTCTTAATACACAAATAACTATTTTCATAAGAAATAATATTAATAGAATTCCGAAAAATTCTGAGAAACAAAACCGTGACTACAATTTCTATACAGGCATAACTGGGAACATTACCTGTAATGCCCTGAAGCCGATAAATAAATATAAATGTTTCTTCATAGAAAAGCTTTATTTTACTTAAAACATGCGTTCGCGCCAATACAAAGAATATATGGTTATGTTGTATTTCTTCTTCTTTTTGCTTCTTTACACAGGTACACAGGTGGCCTAATATTAATCAGTTAATATACTACAATATCCCCCCCCTTATAAGTTAAGCCTATTCGGAGGTTTAATGTTTCTTCGTGGTCTTAAATGAACCTTACAATCGACTACATTTTCATTACTTGGTTCCCTTGAAGGTAGAACTTCATCCACAGGTTCATTCAAATCCTCAGAAGTATTATTAGGAATCGTATTAGGAACGCTATTAAAAACAATATTAGGAACCTCTGATTTTAGAACTACCTCAGGAGTTTCCAAGTTAGGAAAGCTTTCAACATTTATTACTATTTTACATTCTGATCCTGAAGGCGAATTAGAAATCAAAGTTACAAGAACTGTGCTGCTAGCTCAAAACTAGAGATAATCTATTTTAATGCCACTGTAAGCCGGAGAGTGGCATGGATTCTTAAAGAGAAACTTGATATGCTAGTGTGACCAAATAATAACAATGAGTAAGTAGTGTTCTTCTTTAATTTGTACAATAAGTAGGTAGTTAGGTAGATAGTGATAATTAGAAACCCAATTGTATGTAACAAATACCGATAGGTAATAAATCCCCCTTTGTAGTACTACCAAGGTTCACACGTTTTAAATATATATGTATGTCACTATTTAATTAAATGTTCTTATTTTTCTTGCAGGTTATATGGCTGCTATTAATCGGATGATTATAAAATTGGAAAGCTCTTACTTGGCGATATCGGTTCCTAGCGGCGTCTACAGCTATGATATAATGCTCGCAGTCAAGTGCTGGTAAAGGAAGAAGTGGGTTCCAGCCACCAATCCAATATATACGGCACGTGAGTGGTACTTTAGAAGAGACTTAAGGAGGTGCTCTATAGAGAAAGTAGTAATCGGCTCTACGAGCAGCAGTAAATAATATCTGGTAATACTAGGAGCTAGATGACCAAAGTTAGATATTGTAGAGACTTAATGTCGACACTTAATGGCCTAAAAGTAATATGTATAAAATAGAAAGATTTTCACACCAAAGAAAATGAAGAATGCTTACCGGAGATCAGAAGCGGCCCCTTTTAAGATAAGTATAATTATCCCCAACTGGGTAAATCCACTTAGATTAATGTTATATATACTTAATCTGTTAGATGTTAGCTTAAACTTAATTTGTTTTTAGGTTGAACAAATCCGAATAAAGTTCGAAAGTTACAGAAACCTCATGGCCCAAATTTCAACCAAGAACAAAGAAGAAAAAGGAAGTGAGCGAGAAAGACACATTTCCTGACATAGGAGTTTATTGGTGATGCCAAAATATTTGACCATAGTAGGCCTTTTAGCCAGGTACAGGCATACCTAGTTGTAAAATGTCTCTAGAATAAAAGAAGAAGAGCAGAGTTCAAAGGTCACTAAAGTAGTTCAAAATAAATGTAAACACTGAACTAGGTTATTTTAAACAATAAACAGTTAAAATACAAATGTATCCTTTTTGATTTTTCCTGAAGTAAGTAATTAACTATTAAGTAATTAAATAATAACTAATTAATTATGTTTAACATAACTATTCAATGGTAATTGTATTAATTTATAATTCATCGATTTAAACCTGTAACATCCCCCCCTTTCCTAAAAAGGATTTTTCAAAACAAAAGTGATTAGGCTTATAAATCTCCTACCTACCTACATAAACTACCTAAACTAATCTGTATCTGAGTCTGACTCTATATTGGGGTGATCAGGCGGATGAGCCTTTAAATCTTTGATGTGCCATACACCCTTGGACTTGCCGTTTTGGTCCTTCAGCTCGTACGACCACGGAGATAAAATTTTTGATATCCTAAACGGACCTTCAAATTTAGGCACAAATTTAGCCGTTACGCCCTTAGTGGCATCCGATAAGGCATACTTACGTTTCCAAACAGTTTGGTTTAGAGTATACCTTTCGTCACGGCGACGCAAATTATATCGGGCCCTCGAATTGTCAAAAGCAATTTTGAGACGTCGACGCACATCCACAAAGACCTCTAATAAGGCTTCGGATCGAGTAATGGGATCAACATCTTGTCGAAAGGGAGTAGCTAACGGATGGACATCTTTGCCTGATAACTTTATTTCTCTTCCAAACACTACAAAGTTTGGTGTCAATTTTGTGGTTTCGTGGCAGGAAGACCTTATCGCACAGGCGACTTTCTGTAAGTACTTATCCCATGTACGATGGTTATCGGCCACGTAGGCTGTCAAAGCCGTTTTCACAACGCGATGAGCGCGTTCTACAGGGTTACTCTGGGGATGAAAATTTGAAATGTGATAGGGGTCGATTTGATATTTTTCGAGTAAATTGTGAAAAACATTTCCTGTAAATTGGGCTCCATTGTCCATTATTACTTTATGTGGTGCACCATACAACAAAATCACTTGGTCTTCGAAAATTTCGGAGATTTTCCTTCCCGTGGCAGATCTTAGAGGGAAAAGCAGTAAAAATTTACTAAAAATATCTAGGACTGAGAAAATATATGAATATCCTGATGCCGATCGAGGTAGCGGTCCAACTATATCGATACTAACAATTTCAAATGGTCTAGTTGCTACCGGACCTTGACTGAGCATTAGTCCTGCTGGTGGACGTTGAACTGGTTTGGTCTTGAGACAAGTTGTGCAGCGAGATATATATCGAGCCACATCTTGTTTCATTCTCGGCCAATAGTACTTCTGGGCAAGTTTTGAACGGGTTTTATATACTCCGAGATGACCTGCCGTAGGCGGATCATGATATGCGGATATGAGTTCAGACCGTTTGCTTTTAGGAACTACTATTAACCATCCATTAGATTCTGGAACAAGTTCGGGATATTGAGGTTCGACTCTTTTATACAGTTGACCCCTTTCTAGACGCCATGGAGGGTACTTTGACGGCGTGTGTTGTACTAAATCAACCATCTTCCGATACCATTTGTCAGTTAGCTCCGGTAGAAAGTTAGGTGCAACCGCGTCGATTCGAGGTACTGATCTAGAGAGCGCATCAGGTACAGCATGCTCACAACCCTTGCGGTGAATTACCTCGAAGTCGTACTGCTGCAGTCTAACTGCCCACCTTGCAATACGACCTATGGGATCACGAATACTATTAAGCCATTTTAAACTAAAATGGTCAGTTATCACGGTAAATTTAACTCCTTCCAAATAAGCTCTTAAACGTTCTACTGCAAATAAGACAGCTAAGCATTCCTTTTCTGTCGTGCTATATTTACGCTCCGCCTTGGTTAAAGACCTACTGAGGTAGCATATGACCCGTTCATTACCTTCCTCATCAGTCTGCGATAAAACAGCACCTAGACCGAAGTCGGATGCATCAGTTTGCACCACGAAGGGTCTATCAAAGTCTGGACAAGACAAAAGGGGTGCGGAAATCAGGTATTCCTTAAGAGATTTAAAGGCTGATTCACATTCGGAACTCCATTGGAAAGATTGGTTTTTCTTGAGGAGATGACACAGGGGTGCTGTTAAAGATGAAAAATTTGGCACAAATCGCCGATACCACGATGCAACTCCTATTAAGCGTCGAACATCAGAGCTAGATTTTGGCTGTGGAATTTGCAAAATTGCTTCCACTTTCGCAGGATCCACCATGAGACCTCCCGCTCCTACAACATACCCAAGATATCTCAGCTCTGATTTGCAAAAATGGCATTTTTCTCGGTTCAAGGTAAGACCAGCGGTAGTCAATCGGGAGAGGACTTCTTGAAGTACTTCTAAGTGTTTCTCAAACGTTTCCGTGCAAATTATCACGTCGTCTAGATACACGAATACGTATTTCTCGAGATCTAACCCGATG